ATTGTAGACATAGGCTTTTTGGAAGATTTACCATTTGGCAGGGACCGGGTAGGAGCTATATTTCTAGGTTTCGAATGCTCTTACAAATATTTTTGCTACTATATGATTTTTTTGGTTTCTCTTCATCCCTGTTTTCTTTCCTTTTGGCACTGAATGCAATTAATAGAGTAATGTCCAAAGTTGCTTATTTCAGCATATTTTTCTAATTTTTTTCCTCTTCCTATATCATCTGCAATTTCAGAATAACTCCAGCCTTTTGGAAATTACTGCGGTCATAATTCAGAGCTTACAGAGTTTGAAAAGCAGATTTTTACTTGTTTTATTCTTTTTCTCAACCAATGATTTCCTGTGAATTTACCATTCTCTGAGAAGGATTTGTGCATTTATCCATAAGCAGATGTCTACATTGTCCACATTCAAACTAAGCCTCTGAACTCCATTTATAAGCAGTAAAAATAAGCAGACCTCCCTGTAGGTCATAGCTTGATCATAGCACATCTAGCTCAGTCAGATGAACTGCAGTGCAAAAAACTCTTTCTTTGAGCTAATCGTAGAAGGAATTTAAATCATTTGTATGGATGGGATTCAGTTGCTCACCACACACCAAAATGTCTTGTGACATCTGACATCCTCTGCTGTCCTATCTAGTCTCTCTATCTGCAGCTTCAGAAGGGTACATGGGTGCATTTGCAGATGGAGGGCTAATTTGTCATCCTAGTGGGGATATCTCAGGCACTCTTGGGCATTTTGGAAGAGGATAGGTGCTGATGTTTCAGCAACTGAATCTAGCACGAATAAATTGAGGTGTTTCCAAGGGTGCTGGGTATCAGTCAGTGGGATCTGGTGAGCCATTTCACCCTGATGTCAACCACTGCCACCTGGTCAGCTGAATCACACCTAAAGTTAAGCAAGATATATCTCACTCCAAGCTAGATCCAATGAATGTCCAGAATTGATGCTCCAACTGAAGGACATACTAGTGATGTGGTCAGTCTCCCAGTTACAAAGACTGAGCTCTATAGACCTTGTGCTATTCACGAAACAAGCCTGACCTTCAGCATTCAAATAGCCATCCCCTGTTGTCACCCCACTCACCCTACTGTACACTTGCAAACACATATGCCCCTTGTTTGGCCTGGTTGTACCCACAGGTGCCCTAAAGTCTCAACTGTCCTGCACATAACTTAGCATATGGCACATCCTGGACAGACCCATCTTTCCCAGCATGAGGTTTGCCTATTATTAGGGAGTGAGCCAGGGACTTGAAGAGCTCTATATAAGAATCTTTGTTGCTTCAGGTAAAGAGTCAGACTCCTTTCTCCTCTCTGTAAGCAGAGCGCAGGATGGGAATCACAGCCCACCACAGCCTACAAGTGTCATTTGCTCCTTGAAGATCCAAACCCATAGCCCTAGGCACTGGGGAGACGGATGTCTTCTCTATGCAGGCATGTCAGTTTGAACTATGACACCCAGAGTTCATGTGCCTGCCAAAGCCGCCCACAGTGCAGCAGCAGAGCGCTGAAATGGACAAGTGCAACAGCAAGATTTGGTGGGGACCCAAAGAACTGGAGAAAGACAAAGAACTTGGACCCGTCTGCTAACATGAAGTCATCTTATCACCTGATTGTAAAGCCAGAGATCTGGGAGAGCATTTGAATGGCTGCTGCTGCCGCAGTGATAAATTAGATCACTTTGAGAGCACTTTAGAGCTGGACGGAAAATTCAGTTGCTCTCCTGCCAATTTCATTCTGTAAGTGGAATTAACGCTTGCCTTAGCTGCACTCTCCAGCCATGAGCAAGTCTCTGTTGTGCACTATCTCAGAGGGCTTTTGCTCTCTGGGAACTGTGTATATCTGAAACAGCAGAAAGCAGGAACAGCAGAGATCTTACAGTGTGGCACAGCACTGAGAAGAGCATCACTGGAATGAGAGCCATTTCTGGCATTTGTGCTTCAGACAAGTTGCAAGTGGGTCTGAAAAGCAAAGTTTGAGACCACCTGTGAACATGCAGATTGCATTTGTTTTCTCCAGGAGATGGGTAAAGTATAGTTGCCTTTGGACCTCTCTGGGAAGGAGGTTTGGAAAGTTGAGAGTTCTTCAATCCAGCAAACAGAAGGGGAGATCAGGCTTTGGAAGCAGCAGCCAGATTCCATTAGAAGAAAGATAAGTGAGTGTTCTCCACTGCTGATGTATTTTTAAAGGCCAACTGGACACTTCATTAGAAAAACCCACTCTGCCTCCAAATGACACATAATTTGGATGTGATTGGAGTGGCTGGTGGGGGATATGCAGGAGAACTGATGTCAGAGGCTCCAGCTTAGACATCTATGAAATGGTGAGAGCAGCAGGAGCGGTCCAGGAAGGTAGCATGCGATAGTCAGTCTCTGACACTTCCCTCTACATTTGCCATGTGCTACCCATGTTGGGGCACTCAGGCCAGGTTTTGTGCCCAACTTGTTGAAGGAGGCAGAATCAGAGAAGAGGGACAGATCAAACTAGCTGGCGTTACTAAAGGTGGGAGCTGTTTTGCGAAGAGAAAGGAGAGCATATGCATGAGCCACGGCGCAAGAAATACCTCACCACACTGAGACTGGAAAAAGGAAGAAGAGAAAGAAGCACAGAGCTCCTAAGAGAAGCATGGGCAGAAGCACCTGGAACCAGTGTAGATTTATGAAGATAGGTGCACAAGCATATTGCTTGTTTCACAGTCTTGCTGCCAAGGGGATGTGCTGTCCATTTGAAGATGCAAGAACACAAGTCCCAGCAAGAACTAAAAAATGTGGGGAAAACTGTTTTAAGAAAGAATCCCAAAAGCGAAATTTAGCATTTCCATTAAAAATGCATCATTGCGCCTCCATGGACATCTGATGGTCAGCTCAAGGTTATTAGTTGGCCATGATGTTTGCATGGTTAATAACATTTATAGAGTGCTGAATATATACTCTGCATTTATAGAATGCAGAGCCCTTGGAAGCATTAGGAGCAAAAGGAAGGCTATTCAACCTAGAAAAGCCTCTATCAGAATGTTTAAATCAACAACAACTTTTTTTATATTATGTGTCACAAAGATGGACTGGCAGAAGTGCAGGCATTCATTTCTGGTAGAGGCTGGAGGAACAGAGCTGAGTGGGTAGAGAGGCGAGTGGAGGGTAGGAGAGGCTCCTTTTGATAGCGGAGGTTTCCTATCTAGCACTTCCCATCTTGTAACGCTTCCAGGAACGGGTAACTCCTGCTTGCCTTTTGTAATGCAGACTCAGAAGCTCTTCTGTGAGCAGGATGGTGAGGGACAAGAACAAGGTGCTGTAGTGGCCCCTCTGCAGGGGGTCTGCCTGACTGCTTTTTCTGGCAGTGAGGTATCGCAGACTTGGCATGCAACGGAGTTGCAAGGAGTGTGCCCTAACTGGGGACACAAAGCAACCTGTAAGAAAGTTGGGGGATGGAGGTAGGATTACTTTTAACCCTCAGGTTATCAAAGATACTGGAGAGGAAACTGATTGTGATCTAGGTTTGCTTAAATGGCTCATGTACTGCTAACTCTGTTTCCTGTTTTGTATCCAAGAAAATGCCTTTGTTTTGGCTGCAATACATTGTGTTCATTCCCAACTTATCCCTGGGAGAAAATCAGCTCCATTTCTGAAAAGCATGGGGTGGATTTGTGGCACATGATGGTGAACGCTTGGTTTTCTCCATCCAGGTGGTGTGATTTCTCCTCTAGTCAGTGGAGAGGATCAGACATTTCTGGGGACTGTCCTAAGGGGAACATCCAACACAGGGCAGATGAGCTGCAGGCGTGTTTTTCTACCAGCTCTGAAGGGACTGCAGGGGATTTGCTGAGGACTTCTCCATCTGATTTGATCCCACCCTACACATCAAGCTGAAGTGAGCATGTCCTACCAATTGTCTCTTGAGAGCAGTAAATACTGATGAGACAGCCTGTGGCTCTTTGAGCCCTGGAGAAGGTTAGGGGTCTCAGGAACGCATGTGTTTTCCGCCACCCCGTGAGAGACAGCAAGTGGCATCAATGACCAGAACAAGGTAAGACAGATCCTCTGGTGAGGATTCCATCTGTGATTCTGTGACTCTTGTGGCTTCAGCCCCAGTTACTGCACTCCATCAAAGTGAAGTGGGTTTGGGGAACCCTACTGGTATGAAAGTGATCCATGCTGAGCCCACGAGGGCTCAGGGCACAGCCATGGGGGCAGTGTGGAGGGTCACATGAACAACAATGTAATGAGGATCCTGGGGCAAGCAAGGGTGATGGTGTGCTCATGTCTGAGAGGGCACAGTGGGGAGCAGGACTTCCAGCTTGGAAGACGTTTCAGAAGGAAATATGCAGGAATCCAAGGGGCCCATTGCAACAGGTGAGACATCTCAGTCTCCGGCATCTCAAGGTCAGTGGCATTTGACTGGGACATTTCCCAGGCATAGTACAGGCAGGATCTGGTCCACTCTATCACAGGATAATGCATGCGTCTCCTATGTTAACCCATGAAGCGGTCCCCCTACACACACTATCGCAATACGAACGCTGTTCCAGGACCTTGCTAAAAATCTCAGCCTAATTTATAGCCTAAATATATTCATCAGCCCATTTGTTTTTGCTCTGAAACATTTTTCCCATTTGGTATTTGAAGGATCCTGTGTATGAGACACCTGCTTAACTTCAGGCAGTGTAAGAAGCACCAATGCATTTGATAATTAAATGTTTGCTGCCACCTAATTGTCCCTTATTACACATATTCTCTGAGCCGAAAGCCTGTCTACTGGCACTCTCCCCAGAGTGCTGAGCTTCAAAGAGAGCTGGAGAAGAGTTTCTTTTCTTAAAGCACAGCATATATTTAAAAGGGAGCCATCTCCAAAATCTGTCAGGAAACAGATAAAGAAACTGAGAGAATAGCAAACCCAGTGGGCTAATTATAAGCAGTCAAATATAGAAAAAAGCAGATTGCAGCAAGCTGATAAAATGACAACAGCAATAACACTGAAAGAGCTAGCACTTACCTACGAACACCAGAGCACTCAGCTGAGCATGGTCTCAGCTCTAATCATAATTTTCCATCTGCAGTTCTGGAAACCTAGCCTCTTTCTGCTGGCAGGGCGATATGGATCTGTATCCAGAGATCAGCTGCAGTCATCAGCTTGACTTGAACCTAAAACCAGAGGAGATTTGGCCTCAAGAATGAACTTCCAATCTCCTCTGTTCTTCAGACTGGCTTTTTTCCTGGATTTGAAAGTCCTGCTCTGGGCTCTTCTCTGTTTTAAGTGCTATCCCCTGTAGGTTTGGATACAACCTCCCTGCCTTTGCTGCAGCTCAGCTCTGCATATCACCTGCTTGCAGAAATCACAGGAAGAATGTGGAGGATTGAATGAACTCCATGTGCTGACAACAGAGCCGCTCTACAGCCACCTGGTGGGTTTGAGCTTTTCCATAAGACTTACTTACTGAACAAACCGTTGCATTTACACAGGCTATCAGCAAGGGAAGCAATGTTTTCTCAGCTATAAATACAAATATATTCAAGGCAGTCAAGATTTTTTAAGCAAGATCAGCTTATGTATGCAAGCAGTTCTATTTTCAGCTGCTCCAGCTACTAAGAATGTTGTAGCACTTTTAGCTGAACTTTTTAGTTGTCGTATTTTCTCCTTACTCTGTAGTACATCTTGAGCAAATGAAGCTTATGCCCAAACATGGGGTGAGCTCATCTGAGCTGGTCATGGGGGGAAATAAGCCCTGACTGTGTGATCGACAGGATGTTTCTAGGACTATTCCCAAGACTTTGCAGGGCAGTGGTCATAGGGGAAAGGATCTGAGCAATCTGCAAACCTGGGATGTAGAGCTCTGGGGAATGGGGTATATCCACTGGAAATTCAGCATCTAACCTTTAGAGGTCAGCGTCTGAACAGTGGCAGGTGGTGAAGAGCAAGCAGCACCTCCTGAAGGTGAGTCAGCTCATGCTGGGACAGGTGTCTAAGGCTGTGTGAGTCATTCTTGTTTCTCGACATTGGCTATAAAGAGACCACAAACTGATGAGCTCATTGGAGACACCTACTTTGTGTTTGGCTAAATTTGGATAGATGACACTCACCAGTAGGCTTGACAGCCCTAGTGATGTGGGCTCAGCAGAGCTTCTGCAGCCCTGCAGGAAGGGTGGCAAGAAAATTTCAGGCTCTGAAATCAGCTCTATGCAGACTGGGAATCACAAGGGCCCTGAGGATGGGCCCAGGAATAGAGTGGGATTAGCATTTTAATTAGCAAATTAAATGTGCCAGGGACCAGTCTCTGGTACGGAGGCCAAGCTGTAATGATTAAACTCTGTTCAGAGTAGGACAGACACAGCCAGAACCTGTTGGGAACAGTCCCTCCCTGTGCTTGCAAATCAGTTGGGAGAGAGCTGGCCAGCAGGCCATAGCATGGCTGAAAACTTGCTGGGAACTTTTCAAACAGTGTAACAGTGAGGGTGAAACAGTTTGCGTGCCCAAGAACATTGCTGACACTGCTTAATTTAGTAGTGGAGACTGAACCACAACACTGAGCATTTTAGAGTAAACAATAAAGTAGGGGATGGGTATTTGTTAGGCTGGGAGGTCTGGAAGACGGGCAGTGCTGGGATGTGAGGCTACTCAGACTGAGTTTCTGGTATGGGCAAATGCAGGGGCAAAGATTTTGTGGAATTGAAGTTTATGGGATCTGTGGCCTTCTGGAGTCAGAAGTCATGATACTTGTGATTGTGTGGACTGGCAGATGTAAAGCAGGATGCAGTGGAGTACACAGTCGTGAGATTTGGGAGTCCTGGGCCCTGTAGCAGTGGTGGTTATGAGCAAGGGGATCAGTGAAGCTGGTATTAATCTATTCGGTTTATGGGATGAGCAGCCACAGTTTTGCGATTCTCTAAGATCCGGAGGTGCAGGATGTGGAGCTAGGTAGGATGGTAGTTAGGAGTCAATGGTGCTGAGGGAGCAGCATTTGTATGATTCAGTACACCGTGGGGTTTGCAGTTACATACCTGTGAGACCGGCTATCTTGGCGTCCACAACTGGGGGATCATGGGTCTCGGGGAGGGTGGAAGACCTGTTCTTCTTGGATAAAGTCTGAAAGGCAGAGACCCAAGGCAGCTGCAGGGTGCGGGATCCTGTAGGACTGGTCATCATGAGTTTTTGGCTTTGAGGGCTTAGATTTCGTAGGCTTGGGGTTGTGAGGGTAGCATGGGACTGGGAGGTCTTTTGGGAACCCTTCTGGAGCCATGATATGACGCTGTACATGTGATATAAGATAATGTGATGACAACACCTGTCACCTACAGACATCTGGGCAATGTTCATAGCTGAAATGATATATTGCACATAGCACAGATAAAAATATAGATGTCCCTAAAGGATGATGTTTACAAGGGAACTATGGCAGAATTTAGCTCCAGACTGAGAACACCTACATTTTAGGATGTAATGAATTACCTTACCAGAGATGTCAGGTGCCATTTGAGATGTTCTGCAACCCTGCATAGGTTACAGCTGCATCTCCAGAAGAACATGTATCTCCCACATCTGCCAGTCCTGAGTGAATGTGTGGGACATCCCATGGCACCTCCAGGTGCAGGATGCTTAGGATATCCATGGACATAGACAGGATGTCCATGTTTAGGCAGATTAATCATGCTCATAGTCATTAGTCAGTGGAGGTTGGAGGGTGATTCAGGTGTCAAATGCAGGGTGACATCCAGGTCACACACACTCCTCTGGTGCTGACATGTTTGCACACACCTAGTGCTGCTGGAGACACCTTGGCGTACCTAGCACATTTCCACAGGACTGGCAGGTGTTACACAAAATCCATGGGAGACTTTTTTTACCTTTTGGATGCCTTTTTGGAGTGGCATTTTCTGAACCTTTCTCTTCTGGGCTCTCCAAGTCCTCTCACCAATGCCCAGATGGAGGACAAGCAGGATACCCCAGGCATCTCAAGCAAACATCAGATACCTGTGTTTAGGCAACTGCGTCAAGAGCCTACATGAAGACTCTGAATTTAGGTGTCTTTACCTGGAGCTGAATCTGGCTCAGGTGATTCACAAATCACTGTGGAAAGGCTGTAAACATTGTCATTGCAAGCAGCTCTGAGTGTTTGAGCTGAACAAGTGCAGAGGAAAGTAAGTTTCTGTCTTGGTCTCTGCTATAGCTGCATCCTCACCAAGTTTGTTAACCTTTCATCACTGGGTACACTGCGTACATAACTGTGAGGCACTGGGAGAAGAGATTTGAGAGGATCCCATTGCTTGTTGCGGCAGGGCAGGTAGCAGGATGTGCATTGTGTTCTGTGAAGTCCTTCCCAATTTCTAAGTCTTCTTTGCACATGGCAGAGAGCATGGGGTTTATTCTCAGGCACACGTCCTTGAGAAATCCCATATGCTGTTTCACCAGACCGGGGGCATCTGTGTGACAGGAAATATTGGAAATAGGAAATCCTGGAAATAGGAAATTTAACTGCCTTCCAACACACCCTGCCTCCTGCTTTTTGGGCAAAGACAAAGGATACACATTCTAGCTAAGGTTACAGCAGCTTCTTCAGTGCATGAGCTCAGGGGGCAGGACACTTGCATATCTGACAGCACTGAGGGTCCCAGCAGAGCTGAGCTTCAGTAATGCCAGTGACTCCATCCTAAATGGAGGACGATTGTGTCCCTGCTAGCTACTTCAGAGCCAAGGCCTGGCACAGGCAAGACAAGCACGACAGAGCAAGGAGTTGGGAGGGGATGCGGGCATCTCCTGGCACACGCCAAGATACCAGCACGTGCAGGCGATGTCTAATCCGGTTACCCTCCTTGGTGAGCTACAGGCTCCCTCTGGCACCCAAAATATGAGCATTCTTTCAAATGGCCCAACCTTTTTGATTATCTAGTGGAAGCAGATTCAGGCTCTGGTTCTCTGCTCCAAATGCCTTCCATTTTGGTTGCAATAAGCCCTGTATATTCCTTTCCTGTCAGAGCAATAGAAGTTGATTCTGGCTTAGATTTATCAGAGCGAACAGCAAAACATTCCCAAATGGAGACCTCATGCTTTTCTTCCTACTTGTTTGCTTTCCTTCAAAAGGAGCATTTTGCTGCCCTCTCCTGTCCAAAAGGCAGGAAAGAAAGGAACCAGGTAGCTTGTAAATACCGTTTCAAGTCTCTGGATGGAGAGGGAAAAATTGCAGTGTAATGTCTCTGGCCTGCACTGGGCTGCACAGCAGCCATGAGTGTGCACAGGGCATTTTTACCTTGACCTTATTGCATCCCTATTTCATGCAATCCCAAGTTGGCTGGATGGGCTGAGATCATCTACCCAGAGCTGTTGAACATCATGAGGATAAAAATATAGCAATAACAATGTGCAGGCTGAACACAGCAGCACCCACCGTACTTGCCTTTTGGTAGAAAATCCAGCTTTCCTGTGGCTATAGTGAACGCCACAACATAGCTTTTCCTTAGATGTCCACCCCTGCTCTGCTCTAAGAATGTATCATATTGATTTGAGAAAAGGCCAGATAAGGGCTTTATCAAGAATGTCTCAGTCTGAGAAGAGAAACTGAAGCACGTTTCTATCTGGGCATTCTGCTCTGGTCTTTAGGGGTTGCTTGCCTGGATCCTTAACCAGCTCTCACTGTTATCAGGCTTGACTTGCTATCGTGTTCCTTAGGTGACAATCTCTTCCAGTCACAAGTGAACAAGGAAGCAATTGCTTATCAGCTCAAACCTGTCACATCACGCATCTGTTCAAGGGACTTTCCACTGCTTTGGAGATTCCAGTAGTAAGGGACATTGCAATTCCACACCCTGATAATATTCAATCTGTATTAAATGCTATGTGGTGAATGCTTGGGAGATTGATGCTGTCCAAAAGATCTTTGGGAAAGACAGCTAGCTTTTTGCAGGGACTGATGGACCCTGTTGCAGCTGTGACACATGGACTCTGGCAGAAGAATGAGAAACTCCAGGGGAAGTTGAATGAATGCAAGAAAATGATCTCATTGTAAGAGCCCATCTACTGCCCTCCAGCACTAGAGATGAGCTGGTTGATTACAGAGACATCAGGCGTTAAACACTGGATCACAGTCTGGCCACATATATAAAACAAGCCAGAAGATCTTACAGAGTTATTAATAAGCCCAATAACTGGCTTTTGCTAATGCCCTCTCCGGAAGGGTGCCCTGTGTCTCTATCAGGAGATAAAGACTGCCTAGCTTTCCTGGTAATTTATCCTAATAGATAATAATCTTCGCCGTAGGTTGTCTGAGCTACATTTCTAACTCCTCTCTCAGTCTTTATCTTCCAGCCATTTGTTCCTGCTATGTTTTTCCATATTAGAATAAAAAGCCTGTTAGTACCTCTTATTTTCTTCCCATGAAGATACTTATACGCTGTAATCAAAGTCATTGCACAATCTTCATGCTATGTCACTCTGTCAGACATTTTCCTAGTCCTCAAAGATAGTATACCTCTATCCTGCACCTTCCAATTTTTCAGCCTCTGTTTGCAAACATATACTCTGTGATTCAGCAGCCACTAGCTGTGACCCTGAAATGTTGATCTGGGCTCTACAGCTGTCACTTAAGGCCCTGGAGGCAGGACATGGCTCCTACTTGTGATGTGTCCTTCATTCCTATCATGTGGTGTATGGCTGCACCCAACAGCTCTGTTTCAGTTCACCCATAGTCACAAGAAATATAGACTGATCCATTTGACCTACTAGTTCTCAGCACCATTTACTGCTCTACCCAAAGGAAATAATATATTAATTTATAGGACTAATATAATTAGTCCTATACTAAATTTCTAAGCTTCACATTATCTTTATTTTCTTAATAAAAATAAGAAAAGGCTCCTTTCCCACAGGAACTTTTGGTACCCAGCATTAGGTGATGACCAACTTTGATAACCCATTTTAGAGGTTAGATTTGTTTTTCTACCACAATGGTTGCTTTATTGACATGGGGCAATGTCTCATTAACTATATACTACAGTGTCAGGGGATGCAGATTACCAGAATACAACTACACACATCTGACTTGAAATAAAGCTTGTTTGACAAACGATTTGTCTTAAGCCACTGTCAGGTTCACTGTTTGATTGTTTTGTAGGTCCTTCATTGCTAACTGTCTAGCATACAGCTGTGTATGTGTGAAAGGTTTCTTCCTTTGCAGCAGTCCAACGAAGCTTATTGACAGCATATGCTGGTGAATATCTTGCAGTATTAGAAAAGGAACGGAAAATTTCTGATATTAGTCCTAGAGGGGACCATAATTGTTACATACATGCTGATAGACGATCACTGAAGGTTTCTACTGGTGGATGAAGCTAAGCAGTGAGTGAGAAAGTGGCATAAGCTTTTCACTACGTGAACTGATTGTGCAGGTCTTTTTAGACAGAATCACAGAATCACAGAATCGTTTAGGTTGGAAGGGACCTCTGGAGATCATCTCGTCCAACCTCCCTGCTCAAGCAGGGTCACCTAGAGCATATTGCCCAGGATCACATCCAGACGGCTTTTGAATATCTCCAGCGAAGGAGACTCCACTACCTCTCTGGGCAACCTGTTCCAATGCTCTGTCACTCTCACAGGGAAGAAGTTTTTCCTCAGGTTCAGATGGAGCTGCCTGTGGTTCAGTTTGTGCCCATTGCCTCTTGTCCTGTCGCTGGGCACCACGGAGAAGAGGCTGGCCTCATCCTCTTGACACTCCCCCTTCAGATGCTTGTACACGTTGATGAGATCGCCTCTCAAGCTTCTCTTCCCCAGGCTGAACAGGCCCAGCTCTTGCAGTCTTTCTTCATAGGAGAGGTGCTCCAGCCCTCTAATCCTCTTGGTAGCCCTCCGCTGGACTCTCTCCAGGAGTGCCATGTCTCTCTTGTACTGGGGAGCCCAGAACTGGACACAGTACTCCAGGTGAGGCCTCCCCAGGGCTGAGGAGAGGGGCAGGATCACCTCCCTCCACCTGCTGGCAACACTCTGCCTAATGCACCCCAGCATACCATGGGCCTTCTTGGCCACAAGGGCACACTGCTGCCTCATGCTTCACTTGTTGCCCACCAGCCGCCCAGCTCTCCAGCCTGTCCAGGTCCCTCTGAATGGCAGCACAGTCTTCTGGTGTGTTAGCCTCTCCCCCCAGTTTAGTATCATCA